ATCTTGTCAGATAGCAAAAGTTACATTTTTAGTCTTGCTTTAACTTGGTCTTAACTATCAAGCAGAAAAGCTTAACCATGGAGCATAAAAAGCATATTGCTTTTAAATGTGATGTTTAAGTATTCCATTACTTTTAAAATGCAAACTCTACACATATACTGTTTAAATTTTTTCATACCACATCGGACTAAGACAAGACTTTCTTTACAGAATCAGTTAAATGTAGAGTGAATGGATTTATCTTCAGTAAACAAAAATTATGAAGCAATTATTTAAACAGTAATATAAATTTTATGCAATCAATAAATATCATTTTATAATTTTACCCAAATGTATGAAATGACATTGAAAAATTAGACAGGATGACATATTTATAAATGATGCCTTTGATTCTGAAGTGTATTGTTTGAGAGTTTTATAATGTTTTATTTATTTTTTAAATTAATTTCTTTTTTCTCAAAATTGATTGATAGCACATTTTCAATAATTAATACATTGTACATTGTTATCTCTTAGTGGTTATCCACAGTACAGGATACAGACAGGATATCCTGTCCAAGCACTATTTGTACAAATCTTTCTTCTCAATTATTTAAGAGAAAGTAGGTATATATCTATCCTATTTTGTGTATACGGATACAGAATAGTTCTACCTTTGTATCCCTTTTTTTGTTTAGTCCTGTCAGAGATAGGTATTCCACTGGCATCTAAATACTATAGGTACGTGAATTCAGAAAAACAGTCCAACACAGTCCAGCAGACCAAAATAGTAGTAGGTTATCTGCAGAAGTTATTCACTTGAGCCTTTCACAGCTCAGCATATTAATATGGCTTTACTTTATATACCTCATTTTTAAACTTTTCTGCTGGATGGTTAAGACCAAAATAAAACAAGACCTGTATAACAAGAAATGTAACTTTTGTATCTGATAAGGTCAGTCAAGTACCCTCAGGATTTACCCTGTAACCCTGTAAGGCAGTTTGCAGATCCTTTGTCAGTATCAGACCTGTGGATGAGTCACGACCATTGCTAGACCCATTTGCTCTTGTGAAAGGAGAGTTTTACAATATTTTAAATGGTATCTAGAACAATGTTTGCCATTATAATCCTATTTTGTAGTAAAAAACTTTTTGAAAGAAATATATTCATATGTAAATATACTTATGTATAATATTTAATCTGTATATATGTAATCTTTAACAGATTTGAGAGTAATTATTTATATTTTATTCTAAAGTTGAGCAACAAAGGAAATTTTTAAATATAAAAATGAATGTTATAAGATACATAAACATGTATATTTAAATCAAATTTATATGGATAAATATAACAGCCTGGAAAAAATAAGAGAACAGTGTGGGATATAGAAACTACCAGAGCTCACTCCTAGAGAAGCCAAGTAACAAATTTTGCACCTATTTGAAAATTGTATTTGAAGATATTCATTAAGATATTTGTCAGGCCCACTTGGATTCACTAGGGAAATACATCCAATTATGCAGAAGAAAACGATATGAAAGTTTTGTAAACTTTTTATAAAATTATAAGGAAGAAATCACTTCCAAATATTTTTAAGTGGATAGATTTTGGGCTGATACAAAATTACGTCTATGTGATTACTACTTGAAGGATGAATTTTGCCTCCTCACTTGCAGCGGTTCGTGTCCTGAAAGATTCCCACGTGGGAAACTCTTGGAGGCGCCTTCCTATGGGTATAGGTCACTTCCTCTACACACTGAAAGATAATCACCCTATCATGTTTCAGCTCAGGAACTGAAATTCTAGTAAGAATGTCAACAACACTTAATGCAAGCAAATATTCTTTCCTGAAGACAGACCTCAAGAGGTCTTGTGTCAGCTGATGGGACATTTCATGATGTGAGCCCTGACAGGGTCCTGCGTGCAGAAGAAGCACTGTGGGACCTCTCCTTTTCAACAGGACCCTGTTTAACAATGTCATAATCTCTAGTTGATTTGAATATTCATACATAGACACTCAATCTAAAAAAATATTGCTACTCCTGGAGAGTGAATTAAGTGGATGGAGCATTGCAGCCTTGTCAAAGCTCAATTCTCCTGCATAGTGTGAATTCCCTGGGTGTTGTCCCTCAATATAAATAACAAGTATCGCTTGTTAGGGATTTTCCTGGATTGCAGTGGTGCTGAAGACACCTGCAAATAAGCTAATGCACATTACTAGAAAGAGGGAAGTAGGATAATTTAGTTAAAATGGGCAACCTAGTTTTTTTTTAAAAAGGCCCCTGCCTGAAGAAGAAATAAGTTTTAAACTGTCTATTGCAAGATCATACTGCAGCACACCCAAAGCACTGAAATTGGCATGGAAAGGGACAAAATGGCTTTGCAATTGGAAACAAATGGAAGGTTATGAAATTCAGTAACAAAATGAGAGAAGACCCAGATTCCAGTCAAAGAACATAGCAGAGCATCCCAGGGTGGTACCAGGGATTCAGAAAGGTGAAGCTCCCCGAGGGAAAAGGCCAGGAAACAGATCCCAGAACATGAAACTCTTGCTTGAGCACTTTCATCGTTCAGTGCGAGCACCCTGCTTTTTCAGTCTTATATTTTACATTATATTAACTTTTCCTAGTCATGCTAGTGGCCTGACACCTAAAATGAAGTTTATAATGTACATTATACATGTCAGGAGAAAATTGGGAAAATACATTCCTGGAAAGAAATTATATTAGAGCAGACAGGAAGGTGAAATTGTTATTGAAGATTTAAGAAAAATAGATCAAGAAACAAACTTAATCAAAATAAAACTTATGAAAGAAGGGATAGTCACAGGACTTTAAATGATTTTACTTAGCAAAATACATGTGTCAGGAAACATAGCTTATCCATTGGGATGCAATGTAGCCTTGTAACTAAGAGGGTACCTTAGAGTAACAGTGCAAAAGCTGACATCTATGCTCCACTGATTCTATCATAAAATCTTAAGAAAGTTATCTATGTATCAATTTTCTAAAATTTGAGGAAATACATGCAGCATATTTATATTAGTGCACATAGTAAAATAAATATTAAATAAGTGTTGGTGTCTATTTATATATAATAGAGAAATTCCTTTGCAGAGACATATTGGGTTGACAATTAGCTTTGACATAGCCCTGGAAGAAAAGTAATGAATACTAGAAATGTATTAATAGTATTTTATTACTAAACGTTGCTCACATTGAAACATGTGCTCAAAAACACAGAAATCCCTGAGAAAACTGTATAGACACATAGATATAGGATATCAATGTTCATGTATATTAATTCACAATGTGTATTTGCAATGCAAAGGTACATTTCTATTTGAATATTTTTTCCTAATCTTACTCTTCAGTTCTGCTGTCCGATGCTTCTGCCAGACAGCAATAATCAGAACTAGTTCTGAGAAGAAGACTTTTTGGTTTGAGGGAAAATTCCTTATAAACCGGTGAAGCTGTGGTAGAGATCCTTTCAGCATGAAAAACAGTAAGAGAGGCAGTAATGTAAAAGGGTGACAGGGAAGATATTGCCCAGAATGTGCCTGCTTTTCAGCACATATTCATCCACATTAATATACGTGGCTGGAAACTACAGAGATTCAAAATTCTTTGAAAAGAATGTACAAAGAAAAAAGTAAACTAACATTCTATTTCCTGGTAGGATATTTCTTCACTTCCACTGGGATAAAACAAACAGTATTAATATTTCACAAAGTTCACTAAGTGGTGCATCTGTATATAAAAAGGCACAATGACCATTTGGAATTATACATGCTATATCTTTCCCTGAAATATTAGTTCCAAATTATGCAAAACATTGTAGAAATATGTTCAGGAAAGTTACATATAGAAGCATAAATTTTTGTTCATTTATTTCCCATATAAATGCTTTATAATGATTACCTAAATATTTAAAAATTAAGTTAAGGAAACTTCAGAAGAGAAATGCAAGACAGACATCATTAGATTTGAGATAACCTCACACAAACAACATCTAAAGCCCATCAGTTATTACCTTTGGTAACTTAGTATATTGTCCAGTCCATTAGTATTCAAAAAAAAACCAATCACATAATTCAAAGTTACATCTTAATGATAGCCCTGATGTGGAGATTAAATTGGAAATGTTTTATATTACTTATTCATATGAACAATTCAGACATTTAAAAATGGAAACCTTGGGACCAGAGACTTAAGTTACAAATGACAAAAAAATACCAGTGGAAATATTCTCCAAAGATTTTGAAATGGGAACTTCTATTACTCTTATTATTGGAATAAATAATCCAAGAACAAGAGTGTTTTTATGTTTTGTTGTGTTTTCTTTTGCTTTCAGAATCAGGGATTGAACGCAAGTCCATGCACTTGCCTACTGAGCTATCTCCCTGACCTACAAGACTGTATTTTTGTACTCATAAATTGATTGATTATTTATTTCTTGTGATCCTTGCAGAAGCCTTGGAGACTTAGGGTTGGTGGACAAACTGGAATCAAGATTGGAACTTTTGTCATTTCTGTAACTACTTTAAGTTCTTTTCTTAGTCCACTCTCTATGACATTATGCCAAGTCATCTTATCATACTATGGCTGAACTGAATAGCAAGAACAAATGATATCCTATAAATACATTGCTTAGAATTATAAAATGGATTCAGAGACTAGTCTTATAGGCAATATACAAGGAATTTAATCACCAAAGATTGCATAAGACAACAGAAAGATACAAAAGCACCCTCATTCTATTGGACACACAAAAAAAATGTAGATTGTAGCAACAAATGTATTTACCTATTTATCTACCTACTGTATGTGAGTACTCTGATTCATAAAATATACATTATATGTCAAAAGTACATACACTTATTAAAGCTATTGAAAAAGGAAAAGTATTTATCATGTATAAACATTATCAAAATAGAAGTTTATAACTACATTTGCATTAGTTACTCTCACCTTTCCAAATCCATTTTGACTTAGAAATACATTCACATTTAATTTCTAACTTAGGCTCCCTTCCAGAAGACCAACCTCTGGATTCTACTCCGTATCTGCTGGGTCTTGATGCTATAAATGATGGGGTTCATCAAGGGTGGGAAAAGGATGTAGATGTTGCCCATGAGGACTTGCACCAGAGGGGAGAGGTGCTTTCCAAAGCGGTGCACCATGGTCAGGCCAATGATGGGGATGTAGAAAACTAGCACCGCACAGAGGTGAGACACACAGGTTTGCAGGGATTTGAGTCTCTCCTCCCGGGATGCAATGGCTAAGACTGTGTGCAAGATCATTATGTAGGAAATCAGGATGAGCACTGCATCCAATAGCAGAGTGCAGATCACCAAAAACAAAGCATAGATGCTGTTGAAGCGGATGTCTGAGCAGGATGTTCGGATTAAGTCTTGGTGCAGGCAGAAGGCATGAGAGAGGATATGAGGACGGCAGTAGGTTAAAAACTTCAGGCGGATAATGACGGGTGGAATGAGTAGAGAGCTCCTACATAAGATCATTACACCAATTTTCATGATTTTTTCATTTGTTAGGATGGAAGAATAGCGTAGAGGGTTGCAAATGGCAACATAGCGATCAAAGGACATAGCTAGGAGAACAGAAGACTCCATGAAAGACAGACCATGAATGAAATAGGACTGAGCAATGCAGGAATCCAGGCTGATCTCTTGAATGAACTCCCAGAGCACTCCCAGCACTGTGTGCACGGTGGACAGCCCCATTGACAGATCAGTGACCGCCAGCATAGCCAGGAAGTAGAACATGGGCACGTGGAGGCTCGGTTCAGTTCGGATGACGTGCAGTATCATGCAATTTCCCAGGAACACCATGGCGTAGATGAGTGAAAAAGGGATGGAAAACCATAAATAGTATCCTTCTAGGCCAGGAAAACCAGTGAGAACAAATTTGGAACTACTAAAATTTGAGGCTGAGAGAGTAGGCATTAATAGGAAATGGAAAAATACTTTGAGAGCTAGTTTCACGTCCATAAATTTTTGGTGTCTTAATTTCTATCAGTGTTTTTACACTTAGGGAAGACAACAAAATGTGGCATAGTTTCTATAAGCTTCATAAATGTAGCACGATTGTGACTTGATTCTTTTGAAGGGAAAAATCCACTGTCTAGCCATAGAAACTTGCAGTGTAGTCACGAGGGATGCTAAGTGTTAGGGAGCTTTATGCAGAAGTTGTCCTGGACACATGGGACTCAGAGTGCAGGCTGCACTTCAGGGAGCATCTGTTCAATAATAATGGTACTTATGAGTGATGACAAGTGTGAATAATGCGGCCAATCTGCTGTAACCCTTGGGAGAATATGAAATGCCTACGTCATTTTTATCGTTGATCCCAGAGATATGTCTTTCAACTGCTGCCATAACATTGCAAAGTTATAATCTTTTGTAAACCAATGTAATTTAGGAACATACAGAAATAATATAAATTTTATCTTGTTTGCATTTTGCTTAGAAGCTATTTTATTTACATGTACATTGTAATTTACATTTTCTTCATTTATTTCATACAACTTTTATCCTGAGAAATAAAAATTTCTTCCTCTTACAAAACCATCACCTCTTTAGTCTCTCATATATACCGATAACATAACTGTATGACTTATGTTTTGGATGACTTTGAAATTAAATTCTTTTCTATTTCAATTATGTTCTAAACATGTGTTCTTCAGGCTTATTTTTTTTCAAAATTTTATTGATAAACAGGTAGCAATGAGACAGTTTCAAATCAAATCGGAAGTACAG